CTTTTGTTAATGGAAAGTAATAATCGCAAAATTCAATAAAAACTTTAATTTCTTTGCACTTACATTACATATACGTACATACATCCATACATACATAGGTTAATGGGAATTTTCTTTTGTATTGTAGTTAACGGTTACATATCGTAAGGGAAGGTTGAATCAAAAAACTACGAAATAATAAGTAAAGAGTTAGAAAACAAAACCACGAATTTACTTTCCTTTTCCATTTTTTATGATGAAATGATGAAACTCAGCTACATATCCAACCTGTGCGGAGTGATGCAGCGAATTGATGAGAATGGATGAGGTAGAGACACGGCAGCAAGATACTAAGTATTCCCACAACACAGTATCGGCAATTATCGAATGATTGATACGTTCAAATCGATTGATTCCCAATGACTTCTGTGGGTTTTGCTTGCGCAATATGTACGAGTATCTATGGACGCAGGTGTGTTTGTATGTACTATCCGTTGATGCGCTCGTTTGCACACGTTTCGCCAATTTGATTTTAATTTTTAATTGCAAACGAACAAGTCATTGTTCGTGTAACCGTTTGTCAATCCTTCGATGACAATTGCTGCATTAGCTTTCAAGTGTCATTATCAAGGTATCGATTCCCTTCTTTACGCCACTTCAAGTGTACGTACTCGTATGTATGAATGAACGATTGTTGTAGTTGTTCGTTATTGCAATGCTTTGTTGTTGTACGTGACACACAATGACCGCACGATCCCCTGCGGCGCTGAATTCGTTTATTCGAGCAGAATATTTTATAGCTGTGGAAAGGCTAGTCGCAGGAAGCGTAAACATAACACTGCTTATCATATGTATGTATGTACTCTCTTTGACATACATATAAATAACTATTTCAGGAATATCTTTGTCCGTAGTGGTGTTTATGAAATATATGCATGCAATATCGGCTCTCGAGTATGAATTTCAAATGATCTTAATTTCAATTTTATTAAGCTCACTTATCACACGGATATACTATGAGTGTGTGTGTGTGCGTGTATACATATATAAATATAATACATGTATGTGGGCAAGTGGTAGATTTGAAACACATTGACAAGTGCAAAAATTAAAATTATTTATGATTGCAAATATTATGTGTAATAAATAATTCGCAACGTAAAATGCATGAAAATCGCCACAGGCTGAATTAGTAGGGTCGTTGTACTTTTAAACATTTGCCCACTTCGTTTAACCTATTTTAAATGGACGTGACCCGAACATAATTGCAGCGATCTATTTAATTAACACTCATTGTTCGGAATATGTATTCGTAGTGAGATCGTTGTAGAGAATATTTTAAGAGATTGGAAATTTAATTGTTTGCCCAAATGTCCTGTTGGCTTAGTAATGGAAAATAAAAGTGTTTCGTTTTATTTTTACAGAATATGTAGAGATGCATGTGGATGTACATATGTATGTATTAACATATACAATTGATACGAAATTCGCAAAATAACGGCTTTCAAAAGTGGAAACTAATTTTTAGAGCCTGTTTGAAATGAAAAGAAGCGGGAGCATTTCATTTTATTTCATTTAAAATTCTCCACTTCAGGGTCCTAGATTCCTTTATTTATTTTCTATAGTTGACGATAACTTTCACTAGTTCTTTGATTATTGTGGTGTTGTGCATTGAAAATTCTTGCCAGAAGACCAGACAGTAAATAAAGATGAATTCTTCACAACGATAAAACACAATCTCATAAGGCTTCCATTGTAAACAAATTCATGGCCAAACAATTAAATAAGTTCGGTTGACTTTTTCTCTTTCCGAAACGTCGATAATCAGTAGCCGATTTCAGTCGATGAACACATACGGGAAAGTTTGTGGCAAGATCTGAAATTGATTCCGGAAAATGTCATTTCAAACCTTTTTCCGATGATGTTTGAATGAGTAAGTGGAGGCCTTAAAGAATATTGAAAAAAATTATAGTTATAAAGTGAGTATTTGGCTTGTGGTTGGGATTACTATTTAATTTAATAGGATTTTTTTCGGTTGTTATTTTATTTCTTCATTATTCAATACTAAACAAAACACGTACTTACCGGTAATATGTTTAGTGGTACCAAATATCAAACAAGTTTATTCCATTTGTTCATGAAACGGCGGCCACTCTAAGATCCTTAGGTGAAGGTAATAACAGATGTAAACATCCAATTGGCTTCGGCACGATATTTAAATATGTCCGCATTGGGTTGCATTCATTCTACAATAGTAACGTCGCTCTTTGAGTTGCCTTCACATGTTAGCCCCTTAACAAGTAAGCATTCTGCGTACAATCTTTATCTTTTCACGCTTCATAAAAAAAACTTGTTAGAGAGATCTAAATTGGCAAGCTAATATGTTGTCATTATTAGCCGATAAATCGAAAAAGAGCACAAACAATTCCGAATAATCCGAATCGAACATAGATTCTGTAAGATCAGAACATTCAGAAAATAAGTTTCAGGTCCGTCCATTCGTAAGAAATGCATACAGACGTAACCACAAATTGGAGGAGAATCTCGGCCGCTTTAGCGGGTCCAAAGCGCTAATTATATATATTTTGACGATGAGGAGTTTACATTTCTTTGGTTAGTTATTTGAAAAAAATTTGAGGGTCTGCCCGCAAGTGGCCGCATCTATGCCATTGTGTATAAGCATTGTGCTCGCACGCTTAACCCAACTATGCCTTTGCGAGCATTTCGCTATATTTAATAAACTGATTCAAAATCTTCCAACCATGAGTGCCCAAATCTAAGACTGGAGCTGAGAGTATCGTGAAAGATGTGACGTCTCAAACGAGTGAAGCCCGGACACCCACAAAAGTAGTGCTCAGCATTTTGTGATCTTCTGTGCATACTCTGTACTCAGCCGATTCCACTTTACCTGGCTTGTGAAGATGTTATCTCTTCTAAGCGTGCTAAGAAGCCATTTGTCTTAAAACTACATTTGCTGGCACTAAAGGATCCAAGACAGTTGAGGGTGACAGCCTCGCCAGCCTTTTCATTCGTCCACATCCTTGTGACCTATGACTCAAGTGATATTTCAAATAGACTTTGTATGGACACACGTAATTACCCTAATTATTTTTTGGCTGTCAAGGAAAACCGCCAAATTGCGTGATCCATAACATATATAATTGGCGCTTTGTAACCGCTGAAGCGATTTTCGGCCGAGCTGCTCCTTAAATTTGTGGTTTCGTGCCCTAGGGTTATTCCAACAAATGGAGGGACCTACAGCTTATACTAAGACGCTTCCGAACGGTTGATGATTTTTTTATGAGGAGCTTTATTTCATGTCAGAAATTCACTCCATGGGGTTGCCATTTCCTGCCAATGGGGGACTGAAATTAGAAAATTTAACTTAATTTTTTATTTAAATGAATTTTTTACAAGTTTTTGGAAGTTAGTACGACATCATGATTTGAACCCGAGCCTTCCGTATGGCAGCACGCAATTCTAATCACTCGGCTGCCGCTGCCTCCATAATACTATTTTAAAATTCGGTCCTCGATTTTCGATAACCTGGAAAGGCCGAAAACCGAGTGTCATTCATAATAAGGGATAATTAAAATATTAAATTGAAGATAATGACTTGAAGTGAATTAATTAGTACAATAATAATCCGACTCTTCTGACCACAGAATACACATTATTGAGCAAAATTCTTGTGTTTGCGGTAAACAAAATTTTTACTTATTAATAACTATGTATGTAAGTCAAATTAAATAGAAAAACAGTCCTTTAAGACTTCAAAGCGAGATTCCAAAACTTAATGCACATAATTTCCTCACACTTCAGATTCTACATACATATGAAATTGACATGAATTAATAAATTCATTCCATGACCTATATTTTTATTGACCCATTTGTGCGGCCTGAGGTGCTTTAAGAGACTGAAAGTCTTTAATCAGGTTCATCAAGTTTACATACATTCTCGCCGACGCACGCTTATCTACCTGTAGGCAATTCTGAATGGTGTGATTCAACGTTGGGAGCGCGTACGATTATATGAGTTCGTATGACCTTGAAATATGGGCAACAGATGTGGGCCAATTCACTTGTTGGGGCCGCACACGACCGGCGTTGGTTCGTCGCGTGCTCCACCCGTTTGCATATGGTCTGCAGCAGCAGGCAGATAAACAGAACGCATAATGTCGGCGCAAATTTGAGCTTTGTTTTCAAGGAAATGTCAAGTGGCTACGCGCTGCAGCATCGATTACAGTGAGTCGCCTGTGCTTCATATTCATGAATTGTCTATGAGCGAGTACCAATCATTATTTTAATCAAACGCATTTATGAAATCCATTGTTACATACATATGTATACCGTATGTATGTACAAACTCAAATATGTACCAACAAGTATTGTACTTTCATTACTAAAACACATAATAACTTGTTACGCTCTCATTTGGTCAAATAATAAACCGCACAACAGAATGCTCCTTTTACCACCACAAAAAATGCACCAATAGCAAATAGACACTGAGAGGACATATGCTCTGCGCTCTCGCATTGTTTGCTCACCAGCGAGGATCAACAGTATACTCTCAACACAAACCCTTTTTGTTCCTTTTCCTGTGCCTTTCAGGCGTATGTATGTATGTTGTATGTTTCTGCAGGCGTTTGGCTGGTTGTCACCACTTTTGTTAGTAACGTCGACGACCGACACAAGCTTGCCCATAGCCAGAGGGTGGTTTGAGTTCAGATTTTATTGGTGGTGCTACAAGGTGTTTTCGTGCCGGATTCGTTTGGCGGACAAGGGTTCAGGATATGCCGGCACATGCAGGTCGCACGTTGGTCATGCGCTGCAAAATCAGTCGAACGCCGTTCATACACACGATAAGTCACGTGTGGCTTCCAGCTCCGGTAATAATTAAACAAAAATAAAAACATAGTTGGCTTTCATAGAGGCTTCAACTTGATCAGAATCCTGAAAGTTCTAACCTGTTCAGTCAACATTACTGTGTTACATAGAAATATCTGCAACAATAAAATGGAACATAATCTACATAATAATACGCCAGTACATTGGGGCTACGGAGTTGGTTCGGTGCCAACTACGCCGCTTAGTCACTGGGCGCCCCCACCGCAAAGTCATAGTTTGAAACGTACTTTGTCCGAAAGTGATTGTGATGAACTCTATTCAGAGGAATCCTCAAAGGAGCAGTGAGTACCGATAGTTTGCCTAATCAAAAAAAAATATATATATATAAATTAACAGATTTTTATTAAAATTTATAGAGTTTCACCCAGTGAACCAGGTAGCTGCCAGCTACTGACACGTAAAAAACGAAGAGGTGTGATTGAGAAAAAGCGGCGGGATCGAATAAACTCTTCACTCACTGAGTTAAAGCGTCTCGTGCCTTCGGCTTATGAAAAGCAAGGTTCAGCTAAATTGGAAAAGGCTGAAATCTTACAACTAACTGTAGAGCATTTAAAGAGTTTACAATCGAAAGGTAAGTCATGTATATGAACTGAGTTTATGTACAATACAATGCAGGTATATATACTTATGAGTGTGTGTTTTTAAAAGCTTGAAATGCATAAGCGCAAGGACACGCTCAAATGCGCATGTGTGAAAAGTGATTGAAAGAAGGACAAAGAAAGTATTGAATTGAATCAGCGCCATACAATTACGATATTTATAGAAAGCCAAAGAAAATACTTGAAATTGTTGTAGCCCAAAGGGATGCGGATTCCAAAATCCGTAAAATCATGTTTTCAAACAACAAACTGAATAAAACCTATTCACTCGCCATGTGATCAGAAATGTCAACATTTCCTAGTGGACGAGTATCTCCGATATAAAAAGTGCAACAACTACTGGTCGGAGGCGAATCAGAACTTTAATTGTGTTTCCTTTTGTTGAAAAACCTCATTCAGGAATTTTTATGTATGTGATATCTTTTCATTATTAATCTATATAAAAAAAATTCAGTAAAAAGACAATTAGGTGCACTCACACATACACATATGTACGTATATGTTTCGTGTGCCAAAAGGAAGCGTTTGTAAGTCTTTGAATAAACTTAAAAAAAATTAAATACGTTTGCAAAGATTGATTGTTTTGAGTTGCAAACACAAAGAAACCTTTAAAATACATTTTGCTTAAATATAGCATTCACAACAGATACAAAATACTAAGTAAAAAGACGTCGAATCTTATTGGTTGTGTAATAAAATCAACTTAAAAATTTTCAAATTCGTGTATAACTGCAGATGAGTGTTCAATCAACTTTTTTTGTTTTAAAGCAGATCGAAGTCGGGATTACATAGAGCTAACGGTAGATATTTTCTCTGTCGCTAATGTGATGTTTTTTTACTCTCTGCTCTGGAACACTCTATTAGATTAAGATCAGGCAATTGTGATATAGTGTGTGTTACAGACAGTTCCATATAAGCCACCATTGCTTATTGATCTTGGTGAAACCTAAACTTGTTCCGAAGGTACAATTTTTCGGCGCATTGTAATTAATTATTAATTAATTATTAAATAAATTTAAATAGTTGTTTTATCCATAGTTTCTTCAATTGAAACCAAGTTTCTTTACTCGATTACTCTCAATAACATACGGTTTAACTGAATTCGCTTATAATTGCTCATCGTAATACTGCGCCAATAACGGTAAAGGTGTACACACAAATAAGCTGTTACGTCGATTAACTGGGTACTTTATGTTAGTTGTAAATATTCTACTTAAGAAGAAATTATTTTGAAAGCTTTTGCTTGTGCTTGCAACTCATAAAAAAATTTACAAGGTGTGATCAGAAAATAACCGTTATTTTCAAATTTCGTGAGTTACCTATATTCAATTTTCACTTCTTTTATGTCTGTTATATATGTTGGCAATATCAGCCATCTTGGATTGTCAGTTTGTTATTGACAGATAAAAAGGTTAGTTGTGTTTTGGGGTGTTCTTCGACTTTTTACTATTCAAAAAAAAAAAAAAAAATGGAGCAAAGAAACTGTATTAAGTTTTGTGTAATAAATTAAATTAAATTTGAAATTTTGACTGTGGCGTTTCGCGAGTCTTCTATGAGCAGCAAAAACAAAACCGTTATCATGCCTCAACCATCAAATTCACCGGACTTGGTTCCCGCTGACTTTTTCCACTTCCCAAAACTGAAGAGACCGATGAAAGGAAAGCGTTTTGCTACGTTTGAGGAGATAAAGAAAAATCGAAACAGGAGCAGGCGATACCAAAAAACGAGTTTCAGAAGTGTATTATATCTGAGGGGACAAGATATTTCTTGAAAAAAATTGAAAATAACGGTTATTAATATGATAAGTTTTCTTTTAAACAAATGAGCCCATGAATTAAGCAGTGCCACACCCTGTATGTGTTTATCAATATTTTTAATACTTTTTGAAAAAAATTGAAAATAACGGTTATTTTCTGAACACACCTTGTATATAAAAATATGATAAATTTTCTTTTAAACAAATGAGCCCATGAATTAAGCAGTGCCACATCCTGTATATGTTTATCAATATTTTTAATACTTTTTGAAAAAAAATTGAAAATAACGCTAATTTTCTGAACACACCTCGTATATAAAAATATGATAAATTTTCTTTTAAACAAATGAGCCCATGAATCAAGCAGTGCCACACCCTGTATATGATTAACAATATTTTAAAAAATTTTCATGATAATTAAATCTCATAGTGGCGATTTTTGAAAACTTTTCATTTCTTTTATATATAGTCTATTTCATATGCATACGTATGTATTTGAAGGATGTTTCAACTGGTAATTCTATCAATAGTTAAATTTTGAAAATTAGTCGCAGAAGGCTTACACTCAGGCTCAAACGAATAGCTTTGTAAGCATCATATAAAAGTGTTCTCCGGCAAATTGTCTTGATTGAGAGCCTAGATATTCTACTAGATATTCCGAACTGCATTGACGCCGAAACCGATATCGAAAGACCACGGTAGGACTTGACTACTAAACAGAGCAGGTAATAATCGAGGTAGATCCCATGCAAACAGAATATTCTCAGATAGGTCTAACGAGTAAAGTAAAGGTTCAAAAATGTATTATCAAGGAATTGAATTTTTTCAATTGTTTATTTATTCATATAATTTTTTTTACCTAAATTTCTCATTCGTTTGATTAACAAAGCAAAAGTTAGTTCAAAAAGCAGACAAAAAGTTAATAAAACTAATTTGCAACATTTTTTATACCTATATACATACATACATACTCGTACACATATGCAATTGTATGTACGTATGTAAATATGTTTCAATTAATCGCTCTAAACGTTCGCGTGAATTCGGTTTTATTACTTTTCCCACCCAAAAGTGGTTCCCACGCTTTCAATTTATCATATTAATCCTTCAGCACAACTCTCCCATAAACCACCACCGCCGCCGCGACTACCACCTTCATAGCCATTAGCAGGATCAGCAGTCAATTGCCGACAGCCAGGGTATTATACTCGTATTGTACATACGTGTATGTATATATGTATGTGAGTTAGCAAAGTGCCGTTGTCGCGTTATTAATTCACCCGTAATGCAAATAATTGTTTTTTATATCTCACCAAAAATAAACTCACCCTCTCCCATGGTAAAGTGGCTGTGAGAATAAAAATAATGATTATTTTCATTTATACAATATATGATATATATTTATGTAGTACTTAACAAGCATACATGTTTTTATGTGCGTGTAAGTTTTGCCGTAAGGCCTCTGTTTTGTTTGCATGAATGATATTAGTGACATATTCATAACTGTTGTTTTTGTTTGTGTTTTTGCAGGTATCGAATCGTTCAGCTATGATCCTCAACGTTTCGCGATGGATTATCATATTATCGGCTTTCGTGAGTGCGCTGCTGAAGTGGCGCGTTATCTGGTGACCATAGAAGGAATGGACATCCAGGATCCTTTGCGTTTGCGCCTAATGTCTCACTTACAATATTTTGTACAACAACGCGAATTATCTGCCAAAAGCTGTGCCAGCCCAGGAGGTTGGACTACAACATCCGCATCGAGTGGATATCAACCGAATTGTGCATCAACACCCTATCAATCCTATCCAGGTGCTGCAACCGCTCACCCCGGTATCAATCCCACCTATGTACCTACACCAATACACGCCTATCCAACGTTGAGCACCTCACCAAGCAGCACTTCCCATTTGCTACCGCAGCAGCTTCAACAGCAACATCTCCAACAGCAACAGCAACAACTGCAGCAGCAGCAACAACAACAACAATCAGCACCTGTACAGGTGAATCGTGCCTCTTCCGCCAATGGATCAGTACCGGGTGAGGCAATACCAACGATAAGCCACTCAACTGGTCAGCAAAATCCACAACAGCAGCAACAACAGCCACACTCAACGCACCAAACACAGCCAACGGCACCGCATGTACAGCAACCGACTGTGTCACATGAGTCTCATCATCAACAACAACAACAACAACAACCGCCAACACAAGCACAGCCACAGCCTCAACACTACACACAAGAGCATACGCACACCGACCAAGGTGTCACTTATGCGGACTTATCCAACTCGCAGGTGCACATAGATCATCGAAATGCTTCCACGGGTATTACAGCGCCAGGCTTGAGCTATACCGGAACCACACATTATCCAGTGGCAAGTGCGCAGGAGTACAATTCAAATTATGTCGCAGCAAACGGATCCAAGCCGTATCGGCCATGGGGTGCGGAAATGGCCTACTAGGAGAGAGATAACGGTGATATATGCAAATGTACGAGGATTTGCATATACTCGTATGTATGCATAAGTGCGTGATGATTAAGGATTGAAATAGCGATACTCAACAACTAGTCAGTTAACTTTTTATTTATTTTTAAAAACTATTGTATATAGATATTCATATACATATATGTATTTAAGAAAATTTTCAGTAATGTTTTTATGATAAAAAATTCAGTCTCAACTTCGAACTAATTTCTTGTGCATACAGATAAATTTACAAAATACATTTAGGCGCTGGGTGTACGAGTCGGTTTAGATTTGTATTTGTATTATATAAATATTAATGCAGAAATTACATGTATTTGCTCACATATAGTGTGTCATACATACATACTCGTATATAAATTGATTGAAACATGAACGGAAGAAAACATATTTTTTATACACACCTATTATACAAATATATATATATATATATGTAACATATATTAAAACAAAACAAAATATCGAGCACTTTAAACCAAAAAGTCCAAAAATTTCAGATTTGGGAAAAATAAGTTCAAAGCAAATAAAATATTTTTTATACAAGTAAAATAAGACATTCATAAAAAATTAGACTTCATACTTTTCAATTATTGTATTTTTTAACTATTCAATTATTAAGTTCTTCTCTTTAGAAGTGCTACACACATGGTATATACATACACTCAAAACAGTGACGATACGTTAACGGTACAAGTGAAAACACTGAAAAAGTTAGGGGTGACCGATCCCGGGCATGGATTTTTTGTTCAGCTTGGAGGAGTCGTGTGATCTTACACATCTGTCGTAATTCGCAGCTGTGTTCAAGTAGTTTTCTTCTTCTTTACTAGCCGAGTTAACAACACTGCGCCATTCAGCTCTTTTTTTGTTGCTGTTTGGTGCCAATTGGAGATATCACCTAAAGCCAGGTCCTTTTCTACCTGGCCTTTACAAAGTAGTGGAGGTCTTCCTCTTCTTCTGCTTCCAGCAACGGATACTGCATCGGAAACTTTCAAAGCTGGAGTATTCTCATCCATCCGGAATACATAATCAAGCCAGCGTAGCTGCTGTTTCTTGATCCGCTGAATTATGTCAATGCCATCATTCCATCGGCTGTGGTTTTTGCCGTTCCTAGCTCGTAGAGGACCATAAATCTTAAGAAAAAAATTTATCTTGAAAACTCCTAGCGCCGATACATCAGATGCCATCGTCCATGTCTTTCCACTATATAGCACTACAAGTCGATAAGCCACATGTAGAGTTACGTTTTCGTTCATAAAGAGAGGGATTTACTATTCCATTGCCTACTCGGTCCAAAGTAGCACATGTTGGATTTACAAGCTGACAACTTTGTTGGTGGTAATAGTGATTCCAACATAGACGAAACTACCTACGACTTCAAAGTTATTAGTGTCAACAGTGACGTGAGAGCCGAGTCCCGAATGCGGTGACCGTTTGTTTCATGAGAGAAGATATTTCGTATTTCCCTCGTACGCTAACAGACCCATATGCTTCCTTATTCAGTCTAGTTGTTGAGGCCGATAATATCAAGTAGTTGTACACTCTTATAGAAGATTGTACCTTCTCTGTTCAGCTCTGCAACTCTTATTATTTTCTCTAGCATCAAATTGAAGAATTAAGGCGATATAGAGTCAAATATTTTCCTCTTATGACTGCGCTTCTGATTTTGTGCAGCGGCAATTTACACAGCCGTATAAGTTTTGTGGGGTTATTGTATATTGGGGAGACATAGGGTCTTGAAGACAGGTCCTTTTGCCTTTGTTGTCGAAGGCTGCCTTAAAATCGACGAAGAGGTGGTGCGTGTCGATCCTCTTTTCACTGGTCTTTTCCAAGATTTGGCGCATGGTAGATAGCTGGCCAATGGTTGATTTACCAGGTCTAGAGGCACATTGAAAAAGTCCAATCGGTTTGTTGACGGTAGGCTTTAGTCTTTCACACAATCGGCTCGACGAGACCTTATAGGCGATATTAAGTAGGCTTATCAAGCCATAGTTGGCGCAGACTGTGAGGCTTTTTATGGATGGGCAGGGTACATTTAAATTCGACCGACCATATTCTGCAAAGTCGCTCATGCATGCACCTTGTCAGATCTTCACCGGCATGTGTGAATAGCTCTGCCGGTAGGCCGTCAGTTCCAGCCACTTTGTTGTTCTCTAGGCGAGGTATCGCTATTCAAACTTCTTCATAGTCGAGCAACGAAACATTAGTTCCATCGTCATCGATTGTGGAACCGGGCTCACCATCTCCTGGCCGCAGGCTGGGGAAGTGTTCCCTCCATAAATTCAATATACTCTAGGCATCGGCTACTAGATCACCTCTCTGTGTCATACAAGAGTCTGCTCCAGTCATGAAACCTTCTACAAGCCGCAGTATCTTTTCATTGAATTTTCAAGCTCTTCATACTCACACATCTCGACTTCTATCTTTTTTATTCTGCGTCTTGCTTTCCTCTCCATTTCTCGGTATCTATCCCATCCCGTACTAGTAGGGTTCGATCGCTACGTTGCGATGAAGTTAACCGGCTTTATGTCTACTGCGATATGGTTTTGTGTTTTTCGATCAGTGGACATCCATATTTCAAGTAGCCTAACCTAAAGAAAAATAGAATGCGAGATTGCGATAATCACAGACCTACTACTCAGTGCACAAATACCTCTAATTACGGTTGGCAGCGTTGATGTCGAAGTCGTTTTTTGTTCGACATAACATAGTGTCGACGTCGACATCCATGAAGGCAAAAGTACTATTGACTAAGGGTATTAAGAGGACGGTGATATCGATAAAAAAGTCATTTAATGTGGAAATATCATTGTACTGTCCTTCAAGTAGACAAAAAAACAGCTGGGATCACCTGATTGAAATACTCCCCTTTTCCTTTTCCGCCCAGGGATGTAATAATTATAACCGATACGAATAGTACTAAAGTTTGTCTTTCGTACTGTATATTTAAAAAGCATCAAGTACTTCAATTTTTAATTTATATAAAACTAAAGAAATAAATAAAAACACACATAGCAAATATTTTCATTTCGTTCTGTTTCTTTATTAGGTTGTACGGCTTTTCCACACCACTGTTGAGGTCACAATAAAGGTGTGTTACCATTTTTTTTTTTTTTTTTTTTTTGATCGGTTCCCCTGTAGGTCCATACATTTTAAATTAATAACGAAACAAAAACAAAAACGATAAAAAATTCTTTGAAAATGGGGACTGAATACATGCCTTAAATCTTATATATATAATTGACGCTTTGTAACCGCTGAAGTGGTTTTTGGCCAAGCTCCTTTTCAATTTGTGGTTTTGAGTCTTGGTGTTTCTCCAACAAATGGAAGGACCTAGAGTTCATACTAAGCCTCCCCCTATCGGCAAATGGTTTTATATGAGGAGCTTTATTTCATGTCAGAAATACACTCAGAGGGGTTGACATTCCCTGCCGATGGGTGACCGCAATTAGAAAATTTTTCTCAATTTTTTTTCAAATTAATTTTCTATAATTCTTTGGATGTTATTACGACACCAAGATTTGCGCCGGAATCTTCCGAATGGCAGTGCTAATCATTCTGCTACCGCAGACGCCATAAATCCTTAAATCTTACATTTATTAAATTTTAACCCTCCTTAACAATATAGCTTATATTTACATTACTTTATCATCTATAAAGTTGAATACTAACCTTTTTTTTAAATCTTAGCCACCTTCAAGTGAGCTCAGAAAACAAATTCAAAACTTTTACCGAAGAAATATTTAGCACGGCAACACACTTAACTAAATACTAACGGTTTCACTCGAAATTAAGAGAAACGCAGTAAAAAACCATCTAAGCAACCCGCGGCTCGTGCTGAGGTTGGTGCCTATCCTTAAATTCGCTTTTTTCATTCCATTCTATTCTTATTGCAATTTCTTTCCTTCACACAGCGTTCAACTTAATATGTGTGCGTGAAAAAGTGAGCTTATTTGTGTAAAAAACATGAGTTTTTTTACTTGTAGGTCTCCACAATCGATTTAGGTAACGTTCAAATCAGGAGCTATTAATCAATGATCGCACCTAGTACAAAGGAGCAATTCTAGACAATAAACTTATGTGGAAGCCAAATGTAGAGGAAAGGATGAAAAGAGCCTGTTGTGCCCATTACGCAAGTAGTACTGGGTACTGGGCACGTCATGGGGCTTATTCCCTCATTTTATGCGTTGGTGATATACAGCGCTACGACGTTCGCAAGTGATCACTGCCCTCAGACCCCAGACAAAAAAATGACCTTAGAAAAGGGAAGCTGTAGACAGAGCTGCCAAGGGCTAACTTCGGCTTATGACCTATGGGTTCTAGGCAAAACCGTCATTATGGGTAACGAAATAGCTGATGAGATTGAAAAAAAGTGCCATCAGCGAACCAGTAATGCTATTTAAAAGATGCTCAAACGGCCTATAACGAAATTTCTGAATGAGCTAGGAGCCGGAACAGAATGAGATGGAACGCATTTGCAAAATCACCAAGATAATATATAACAGCGGCATTCGTTTGCGTAAGAGTTACAGGGCAATTGTTAATGCCGGACTACAGGGGAATACAGGCTGGAAATTAACAGCAGTGACACTTGTATTATATGCAGGGAAGAAGGCAAGTGAGAAGTTAAGACACAAACTCTGTTTACGTCCAGCCTTTGCCAGAACTCATGCAAGATAACTCAAAGCTTCGCAGTTTAAAGAACTAGCTGAGGCTATAAACTTTAATACTGTTGCGAAAATGCGAGGCGAATGTCAGATGAAAGAGAGAAGCCGATAACTAGTACGTTCTAGAAACGATAAAACAAGAACCTTCCATAGCTTCCGTCTGCGAGCAGCCGACTGCTATATAAAGGCGACACTCAGCTGCAAGTCAAGTTAGTGATAAAGTGAACTCGTTGGCGTTAACATCAGTAAAGTCGTAAAGTAAACGCGTTGGAGATTACATTTAAGTAGAGTAAATTGTGAAAGTTGATACTAGTGATTGTAAATAGTAAAGTGTATTGTAATTGAATTGTGAATTACGGAGTAAATAAAGGACATTAGATAAAATCTTTATAA